AAAAAAAATAAACAAGTAGACAAAACACGTAAATAAATAAATATCGATCCATACTTACGTGTTGAAATTAAACAGATTAATATTTATACATAACTTAAAATCAGCTTTTGTTGTAATAAAAGAGCAATCGAGCACACATCTTTCTTTGTCACAAATATATATATATATATATAGATATATAACTCTTGCACGTATTTTATTACCTTAAAAATTACTTAATAGATCTATCTGAAATGAGAGGGAATGCAACGATAGTAATAAAATTGTGAATATTTATGGATTTATATATATAATTCTTACTTTATCTCAAGAACAGGTTGTGATTTCTGTTTTTGTCGTCGTGTTTGTGTTTTGAGTTGTACTGTCAGCAGTGCTGCTGTTTTCGTCATTGAATTCCACATGTGAACCGCTCAGGCCAAAACTTGAATTGCTATCATCGTTTGCTGAAACCAATGAACTGTTTGGACTTTCATCCGTCTGGAATTAAAAATACTTGTTATAGTTAATTTAGTTCTCTGATAATAATAAATACTGAATACAGTTGGAGCTATTTAATTCATGTTGTTTACTAAAAAAAAGTGATCCAAATCCAAAAATGTGTATTCGGAGATAAAACAAATTCGAGGATTCTTCATTTATGTTTTTAATTAAAAAAAGGGTGATACAAATGTTTTATTTGAAGTTAAACCCAACTCATGGTGATGACTCATCTAAACTTTACTCTTAAATTCATTTTAACTCCCAAGCGATTCAAAATCGTCCCGATTCAAAATCGACCGGATTAATTTATAAAGCCTCCAGACAAATTCAAAAGCCTCCAGGCTCATTTAAAAGCCTCCAGACTCATTTAAAAGCCTCCCAGACTCATTTAAAAGCCTCCAGACTCATTTAAAAGCCTCCCAGACTCATTTAAAAGCCTCCCAGACTCATTTAAAATTGCGTAAACTCGTCCAGAGTCATTAAAAATCGCTATAAGCTCGTCCAGTCCCTTTAAACTCGTCCAGACTCATCTAAAGTCGCTTACGCTCGGCCAGGTTCATTAAAAATCGCTCAAAATCGTCCAGACTCAATAAAAATCGCTTTAACTAGTCTCAAATCAATAGAACTAGTCTCAAATCAATAAAACTAGTCTCAAGTCGATGCAACACGTTTCAAGTCATTGAAACACCCCAACACATTGAAACTCGTCTAAACACATTATCAAAAACTTTAAATAAATCGACTTTTCAGGGTATACAAATTTTTTAGTTTTTTTCTAAAAATGCTCTGGTTTGCCTAAAAATGTTCGAGTTTGTCTAAAAATGTTGCTAGTTTGTCTAAAATGTTTGTTAAATTGTTGCAAGTTATTTAAAAATATTCTAGGTTTTCTAAAAACGTTGCTGAACTGTTTCAAGTCTAAAAATATTGCTAAATGTCTAAACATGTTCCAGTTTCAGTAAATAAATAAATAAAAATAAAATAATAAAAATATATAATAAATAAATAAAAATAAAAATAAATAAATGCTAAAATGTCTTAAAAATATTGCTTAAAGTCTAAAAACGATGCTAAACGTATAAAAATGTTACAAAATGTCTAAAAACGATGCTAAATGTTAAAAAATGTTCCAGTTTGCTTAAAAAAAATTGGATAAAATATCTAGAAATGTTGCTTAACGTCTAAAAACGTTTGCTAAATGTCTAAAAACTATGCTAAATGTTAAAAAACGTTCCAGTTTACCTAAAAATTTGCTAAAATGTCTAAAAACGTTGCTTAACGTCTAAAAACGATGCTAAATGTCTAAAAACGATACTAAATGTCAAACAATGTACCATTTTGCCTAAAAAAATGGCTAAAATGACTAAAAATATTACTGAACGTCTAAAAATGTTCCAGTTTGCCATATATTGCTAAAATGACTAAAAAATGTCAATGTAAACTGTTTAAAAATGTTGTTAATGCCTGAAAATGTTGCCAAAAACGCCAAAAAAAAATGTCGCCAGAACATCAAAAACGTCGGCAAAACATCAAAAACGCCGCCAAAACTCCAAAAATGTCACTAAAACGCCCAAAAAATGACGCAATCACTCTAAAAATGTTACAGTTTTTCTGAAAATACAGCTAAACTACCTAAAAATATTGCTAAACTGTCTAAAAAATGCTAAATTGTAGCAAGTTGTTTAAAAATGTTGCCAAAACATCAAAACGTCGTCAAAACTCCAAAAACGCCGTCAAAACTCCAAAAACGCCCAAAAAATGACCCAATCGCTCTGAAAATGATCCAGTTTTTCTGAAAATATAACTACCTAAAATATTGCCAAACTGTCTAAAAAAATGCTAAATTGTAGCAAGTTGACTAAAAATGTTGCCAAAACGCACAAAAAAATGTCGCCAAAACATCAAAAACGTCGCCAAAACTCCAGAAATGTTGCTAAAACGCCTCATTTTGTCTCAATCGCTCTAAAAATGTTGCTAAATTGTTGTAAACTGTTTAAAAATGTTGCGAAATTTTTGTAAATTGTATAAAAATGTTGCCAAATGTCCAAAAATGTTCCAGTTTTTCTGAAAATATTGATAAACTGTCCAAAAATAATACTGAAAAGTTGTCTAAAAATGTTTCCACAAACGCCCAAAAAAACGTTGCCTAAACATCAAAAACGTCGCCAAAATATCAAAAACGCCGCCAAAACTGCATAAATGTCGCTAAGACGCCTAAAAAATGTCTCCAAAACGCCCAAAAATGTTACTAAATGTCTAGAAACATTCCAAATCGTCTGAAAATGTTACAAATCGTTTAAAAATGTTGCGAACTGTCTCAAAATGTTGCTAATTGTTTCAAAATTGCCTCAGAATTTTGTAAATCGTCACAAAATGTTTTAAATTGTCTCAATATGTTTGAAAGTGTAAGTATGTAATGTATAAATGTTGTAACTTATCTAAGAACATTATTAAAAAAAATATTTATAAATATGAACTATCTATAAATACAGTAAAATATGTGCAGATTCAGAAAATATGAGAAAATTGTAAATCTGACTGAAACTGCCAGTTATGCAGAATGACTCCTACATTTTGCATCAGATTTTAGTCAACATTGTACCATATTAAATTTTTATAGTAGTGGATATTTCGTCTCTCAAAAATGATAAATAAATGCAAACAATTCTATAAATCAATTTTTGGGCATTTCTAACTTTATTTAAAAGTTTCAAAGTTTTGTTTTTACTGTGCCAAGAGGACTATTTGTATTAGTTTGCTTTTATTCTAAGCACAATTAATAAAAAACAAATTTTAAAAATAAATAATTTTCATCGACTTACCATTTCGACCCTCAACTTCTTCGGATCGGCCAACTGTTGTTCCGTCAAACTTTTCCTCTTCTTATCAACACTAATACTAGAACCGCTCGATTTGCGTTCGCGTTTCAACAAACTAGGACTTAAATACTGGCTAAGTTGTTTCCTCCTCACGTGCCGAGCCTAAAATCACACCAATTAATCTCGTCCATTAAAACAATCATAACCACACTCGTAATATTCAGTTAAAAGTCTATAAATTATGATATTACTTCAATCTTCATGCTATCTTTTAAGATATGTATGTTAACTGCCTGGCTCAGTACTGATTCGGTGAAATTTTGAATGTCGTAAGTCAGATCTACGTTTAGGTTTTCCGTTTTTTCGAACATTAATCCTATGAACCACATCGAACAGCACTGTTTTTCCGAACTCGATGAGTCCATTTGTTCTACTTGGCCAAAGTTTTCGGGATTCACGTGTGCTAATGTTATGTGCTGATTTCTGTCTAAATTGCCTAAATAAGGAAGAATATTTGTATTTAAGTTTGATTTTTATTAAAGTCCAAATAAGAAATTAATACAAGTCATATTGGAATAATTAGAAAAATGCTAAACTGTACACTAACAAAGTCTTAAGTCTGTTTATGAACTGTAACTCTATTATTTTATGAATGTTTGTATTATGTGAACTTATATAAAGATAAATAATAATCTTGTCTTATAAGTTTATAAAATAAGAAAATAGGAATCACGTAATGTTTTTGTCCCAGTCTTTATAATATTATTTTTTTTGTTCATAATGTCGTAAAATGTTCTAAACGATCTCAAAGCATTCTAAATAACCTCGAAACCTTCTAAATAGTATCAGAGTTCAAAAATGTCTAAAAAAAAGTCTAAAATAGTTTCATAATATTGTAAATAGTCTCATAATGTAGTAAATAATCTCATAATAAACTAGTGGTGTATGACATCGTGCCTTAAGGCAAATTGCTGAAACTTCCCGTACCGTATTGAAATATTCGAGAAATTTTAAACGTTTTCAAATACATATATTATTACAAATACTGTAACTTTCATTATTTTTACTATCTTTTGTTATATCTGAGAGAATCAAATATAAATCATAAATCAATTTACCACCAGAACATTAACAATCAATCGTCATTTCATTTCAAATTCAATTTAAAAAAAAAAAAGCCTAATTTACACAAAATTAAAAAAGTGCTCCCGTATAGTAACAGTCTAAACGCATTTGCAAATAATTCTGTGCGACATTTTCACTTATACTGTGCTTAGCTTGGCGGCATTTTCACATTTTTCTAAATAGTCTCAAAACGTTCTAAATTGTCAGAAAAGGTTTAAAATAGTCTCAAAACGTTCTAAATAGTCTCATAATGCATGAATAAATAATAAATAATGTTCTAAATAGTTTCAAAGCGTTATAAATAGTCTCGAAACGTTCAAAATAGTATTAAACCGTTATAAATAGTCTCATAATGTTCCAGCAACTAGTCTCAACGTTCTGAATGAACTCGTATCGTTCTAAATACTGAAAAGTTCTTAATAGTTTCAAATTGTAGCGAATAGTTTCAAAATGTTCTAAATATTCCTCAAACCTTATAAATGGTTTCATAACGTTCTAAATTTTCCTAGAATGCTCTAAATATTTCCAAAACGTTCTAAATAGTCTTGAAAATGTTCTAAAGTCTTGAAAATGATCTAAATATTTCCAAAACGTTCTAAATAGTTTCGAAGCGTTCTAAATAATCTCAAGGAGTTCTAAATATTCCCAAAACGTTCTAAATAGTCTTGAAAATGTATGTCTAAATAGTTTTATAATGTTTTAAATTGTCTAAAAATGTTAGAACAGTCTAAACATGATGTAAATATCTTCAGAACGTTCTAAAAAGTCTCCTAAGATTCTAAATAGTCCTATTTATATTGTTCCCAAAAGACATATTGTTCTAAATAGTCTCAAAATATTCTAAATAGCCTCAATTTTCTGAATAGTCTCAGAATGCTCAAAAAAAAGTCCTAAGTTGTCTCGAAAATGTTCAAAATAGTTTCATAACGTTCACAATAGTTTTATAACGATCAAAATATTCCTAAAACGTTCTAAACAAATATTCTCAAGACGTTCTTAATAGTTCCATAACGTTTCAAAAATTCTCAAGACGTTCTAAGTAGTTTCATAACGTTTAAATATTTCTCAAAACGTTCAAAATAGTCTCATAAAATTCCGAATAGTCCCTCAATGTTCCCAAAAGGTCGGGAAATGTTCTAAATCGCCTTAAAATGTTGTGAATTGTCTAAAAATATTCTGAATTGCTCTAAAATGTTCCAAATCTTTCAAAAACGTTCCAAGTAGCCTCACAATGTTAGCTCAATAGCCTCAAAACGTTCCTAATAGTCGCGAATCTTTACAAACCGTACTAAGAATATTTTAAATATTCCCAGAATGTTCTGAATAGTCCCAGAATATCTACGTCTACTACAAATATCCTGGAGCATTTAAAAATATTCTGAATCATCTAAAAACGTCCTGAATCGTCTAAAAATATTAAGAATCGTCAAAAAATGTTTTGAATCGTCTAAAAATGTTCTGAATCGTTTAGAAATGACCTGAATCATCTAAAAATCATCTAAAAATGTTCTGAATCGTTTAAAAATCGTTTGAAAATATTCTGAATCGTCTTAAAATGCTCTGAATCGTCCTAAAATGCCCCGAATCGTCTAAAAATGTTATGAATCGTTTAGAAATGACCTGAATCATCTAAAAATCATCTAAAAATGTTCTGAATTGTTTAAAAATCGTTTGAAAATATTCTGAATCGTCTTTAAATGCTCTGAATCGTCCTAAAATGTCCCGAATCGTTTAAAAATGTTATGAATCGCTTTAAAAATGTTCTGAATAGTTTAAAAACATTCTGAATCGTCTAAAAACATTCTGAATCGTGTAAAAATGTCTGAAAATATTTTGAATTACTTAAAAATAGTTTTAAAATGTTTTGAATCGTCTTAAAATGTTTTGAATCATCTAAAAATGTTCTGAATCGCCTAAAAATGTTCTGAATCGTCCAGAAATCGTATGAAAATGTTCCGAATCATCTACAAATCGTATGAAAATGTTCCGAATCGTCTAAAAAAATTCTGAATAGTATAAAAATGTTCCAAACAGTCCGGAAACGTTCTGAATCGTCTAAAAATGTTCCAAACAGTTCGGAAATGTTATGAATCGTTTAAAAATGCTATGAATCATCTAAAAATGATCTGAATCGTCTAAAAATATTCTGAAACATCTAAAATTCATCTGAGAATATTGGGAATAGTCTAAAATTGTTGGAAATCGTCTAAAAATATTGTAAATCATCTAAAAATGTTCTAAATCCTCTAAAAAGCTTCTGAAAATGTTCTGAATCGTCTAAAAATGAACCGAATCATCCAAAAATGTTAAGAATCATCTAAAAATGTTCCGAATCGTGTAAAAATCGTCTGAAAATGTTTTGAATCGTCCAAAAATCATCTGAAAATGTTCTCAATCGTCAAAAAATGTTATGAATCGCTTAAAAAATGTTCTGATTAGTCTAAAAACATTCTGAATCGTCTAAAAATGTTCCAAGCAGTCCGGAAATGTTCTGAATCGTCTAAAAATGTTTCGAATCGTTTGAAAAAATTCTGAATTGTCTTAAATAAATCTAAATCGTCTAAAAATATTTTTAATCCTGTTTTAAATAGCCTAAAAACCTTCCGAATGGTCGCAAAGCATTCCAAATAGTGCAACAAGGTTGTATATCCTCCAAAACCGTTCATCCAATAGTTTCAAAACGTTATAAATCGTCTATAAATGTTCTAAATTGTCTACAAACATTATGTAAGTCTGGTAAATGTTCATAAAAAGTCTAAAAATGCACTAGACCATCTAAAATATGTTCTAAATCGTCCGAACAGTCCGGAAATGTTCCAAACTGCCCAGAAATATTCTGAACCATCTAAAAATCGTTCTAAAACGTTTCGGAAAATGTTCTCGACCGTATAAAAATGTCCTGAATCGTCTAAAATTGTTCCTGAATTGTCTAAAAACGTTCTGAATCGCCGGAAAATGTTGTAAAACTTCTAAAAATGTCTATATATGTTTTAAGTTGTCCAAAACTGTTCTAAATCATTTCAAAACAATCTAAATCATCTAACAATGTCGTAAATTATCATAAAGAAATGAAAACTGTTACAATTTTACCACTTGCAATTTCTATAGGCTAATAAAAGAAAAATAAATAAATATTATAAGGAAATTGAAGACGAAAATGGAAAATTAATAATGATTAGTAGTAATAAAAATAATAAATTAAAAAATTCAAGACAAATAATAGGTTGTCAAATATCTCCCTTCCGCCTTTTTGTATTATAAATCAAGAGCAAAAAAGCGGAAGGGAGATATTTGACAACCTAATATATTTACAGCACCAAATTTAAAATTAATTGTAATACTTTTATAATTATATGAATTTTTTTTAAACATGCTGAAGTAAAGTTAAATGCCCAAAAATAGTTTTATGATCTTATGAAACAATTACTAAATGGAATAAAAATATTTTCATTGAAAATTCGGTACAAAATTAAAAGGGCAAGACCTTTTAATCAAATCCAAATGCAAATCCATATCAATTCATCAAAAAAAAAAGAAGGGTTATATATAAAGATATTTTAATTATAATAGATATTATATTAATGAATTAGTCAAATGAAATGTATATATAAAATATGAAAACTGTTTTCATAATCTCTCATACCAGGCACCTCTGTCTGACTGAGATATGAAAATAATGTATATATATAAATTAACAAAAAAAAAATAAAAAAAAAATCAAAAGGTTTCATCAGACTAAATACAACTGAGATAATATATTTATTTTAGGTTTAATCCGCAATTATCTCAATGTCTAAAAACTTATTTACTAATTATTCTACCACGTACCTATTAATCTTCTAATTTTACTTTCAACAAGTCCAGTCCATTCTAATTGATCCTCCGGTGTCGACGAAGAAGCTAATAACACTATAAAATGTCTATACCTTGAAAAAAAATTCGGTGCTTCAAACAATTTATCCCAAGTTTGTCGACCCAACATAATTTCTTCTGTGATCTGTAAACCTAGACAAACAAAAAAACAACATCAGCTTTTACAATCGGATAATGATAGTAGTGTATAAATCAATATATAAATGTATATATCCATATTTGTAATAAACTGACCCCATATATAAATGCCTTGTAGTGTATAAATCAATATATAAATGTATATATCTATTTTTCTAATATACTGACCCCATATATAAATGCCTAGTAATGTATAAATCAATATATAAATGTATATATCTATTTTTCTAATATACTGACCCCATATATAAATACCTAGTAATGTATAAATCAATATATAAATGTATATATCTATTTTTCTAATATACTGACCCCATATATAAATGCCTAGTAATGTATAAATCAATATATAAATGTATATATCCATTTTTCTATTATACTGACCCCATATATAAATGCCTAGTAGTGTATAAATCAATATATAAATGTATACATCCATTTTACTAACATACTGACCCCATATATAAATACCAAAACGTGTATAAATCAATATATAAATGTATACATCCATTTTACTAATATACTGACCCCATATATAAATACCAAAACGTGTATAAATCAATATATAAATGTATATATCCATTTTACTAATATATTAAGCCTAAATATAAATGCCTAGTAATGTATAAATCAATATATAAATGTATATATCCATTTTTCTATTATACTGACCCCATATATAAATGCCTAGTAGTGTATAAATCAATATATAAATGTATACATCCATTTTACTGATATACTGACCCCATATATAAATACCAAAACGTGTATAAATCAATATATAAATGTATATATCCATTTTTCTATTATACTGACCCCATATATAAATGCCTAGTAGTGTATAAATCAATATATAAATGTATACATCCATTTTACTAACATACTGACCCCATATATAAATACCAAAACGTGTATAAATCAATATATAAATGTATACATCCATTTTACTAATATACTGACCCCATATATAAATACCAAAACGTGTATAAATCAATATATAAATGTATATATCCATTTTTCTAATATACTGACCCCATATATAAATGCCTTGTAGTGTATAAATCAATATATAAATGTATATATCTATTTTTCTAATATACTGACCCTATATATAAATGCCAAAACGTGTATAAATCAATATATAAATGTATATATCCATTTAACTATTATACGAAGCCTGAATATAAATGCCTAGTAGTGTATAAATCAATATATAAATGTATATATTCATTTTTCTAATATACTGACCCCATATAAAAATGCCTAGTAGTGTATAAATCAATATATAAATGTATATATCCATTTTTCTAATATACTGACCTAATATATAAATGCCTAGTAGTGTATAAATCAATATATAAATGTATATATTCATTTTTCTATTATACTGACCCTATATATAAATGCCTAGTAGTGTATAAATCAATATATAAATGTATATGTCCATTTTTCTAATATACTGACCCCATATATAAATGCCTAGTAGTGTATAAATCAATATATAAATGTATATATCCATTTTTCTCTTATAGTGACCCCATATATAAATGCCTAGTAGTGGAGAAATCAATATATAAATGTATATATCTATTTTTCTATTATACTGACCCCATATATAAAGGCCTAGTAGTGTATAAATCAATATATAAATGTATATATTCATTTTTCTATTATACTGACCCTATATATAAATGCCTAGTAGTGTATAAATCAATATATAAATGTATATGTCCATTTTTCTAATATACTGACCCCATATATAAATGCCTAGTAGTGTATAAATCAATATATAAATGTATATATCCATTTTTCTATTATACTGACCCTATATATAAATGCCCAGTAGTGTTTAAATCAATATATAAATGTATATATCCATTTTTCTATTATACTGACCCCATATAAAAATGCCTAGGAGTGTATAAATCAATATATAAATGTATATATCCATTTTTCTATTATACTGACCCCATATATAAATGCCAAAAGGTGTATAAATCAATATATAAATGTATATATCCCCTACCTGCTCTAAATTCCTCCATCATAACCTTCCTGGTCGACAAAGAAACATTATAAGTGGAATTCTGTTGTGGATAAGTCGGTGTGATGATGGGCATCAGATGATTTCGATCGCTGACATTTACTCTGGGGTCCCAGACTGTAAATCCAAGGTTTACGTTGTCGGGCTGTTTAAGAAGCACCGGTTGTGGCCATTTCCATTGTGAGAACACCAGGAAGAACTTATGAACTAGTGTGGCAGCTGCTGCATTTGGATAGAGTTGGCAAGTTCGGGCCACCAGCATGGCCCAGGAGACACCACCGAGGTAGCCGAGGACATTGGAGTATATTCCATGTTCTGAAAAACAAATATATATATATATATATATATATAAATATATATAAATAATATATATATATATATATATATAATATATATATATATACCAAAAATGATAGCAATGCAATTGTTTTTTTGAATGGGTGTAAAAATCAATTGAATTAAAAATAAATAAATATAAAAAAGTAAAATGAAATAGACGAATTGGAAAACAAAAATTTTACAAATAAACAAAATAGATAAAATAATTTTAAAAAAATATATAAAAAAAAAATGAATATCAATATTCAAAAAGTAACCAAAAAAACAATGAACAAAAATAGAAATTGAAATAAAAAAAAAATGAATAGTGAACAAATAAATAAAACCGAAGAAAAAATAAATGATCAATACACAATAAATTTTATATATATATATATATATATATATATATATATATATATATTTCTATTCCTATTTACTCACTCTTTGCCCATAATTTAATAGCCCTCAGCGCCAGTCTAAAATTTTCAATATTAGGAACAAGTCTTAAAATTTCATCCGTAACACGACAACCATTCAGACTCCTCACGCATTTCTGGTCCAAATTTTTTAGCAAAGTATCATCTCGCAGGTCAAAATTATCTGGAATTTCCTTTAAGGCTAATCTAGCAAACAATAAATCTATCTCTATACCGTCGTAGTTCATTTTTATCACAGGCACAAATGCTTCTTCAACAGACTAGAGGTAAAAGACACAGGAATAAATTAATTGAATAATAGACATAATAATAATAAGTCTATTTTTTTACTTACTCGTAAGTCTGTCACTTCAGGCTGCTGTTTAAGTAACTCAAAAAATGATGTGAAATAATCAGATCTGTCTATGTGTCTTGGAGCAACTAATAAAGCATCGATATCAGCCCCCTTATGATGCACCTGGGTAAAAAAACACATTGAACACGTATTTTTGGGTGTAAATAATAAAATTTTGAGGTTACCCCAAGTCTGTAAGATCCAAAAGTATATATTTTACCACCCACTTGTTGGGCACAATTTTCAGGCATGTTTCTACTGATTGAAACATCTTTTATCCATTCTTTAACTAGTGAATTTAATTTTGATAAAAGCTGCATGCGATGATTTAACTCCTGTTCAGATTCAAAAACTTTGAAAGGAGCTAAAAAGGAAAAACAAATTCAAAACATTGTTCTGACTAAATAGATAAATGTATTTCCTTTACTTACTTAAAGCATCTTGTAATTCTTGTGTCTTTTGTAAATCCAAAGCCTTCGGTGTGGCTGTAGAAATAGCTGAAGTCATCCCCAAAGTTTTAATATTTGAAGAATTGGAGCTCGGCTGAGACGACCACATTTTGAAACAGACTTATATACTAATCTTAATGTAAACTAAAATCCTTTAATAATATTCCTAGCGTTTCATAATCTAAAAATACAAAAATAAATGATTAATATGACATGTCAAAAAATTGATGTTTTCTCTCATAGTTGTATTAGCAAAACATAACCTCATGAAAACACAAAATGTAAAACTATAATAACTTAAAATCTTTGCGTATACAATTGCATAAACAACTTGTACATACAATAAACAAATAATCCTTTACACATAACATATTTTATTCCATTATCACCTGATTATAGTTCCAGTTCTCATATAATCCTCATTGTTTAACAAAAACTCTTCTCGTTTCGTGTCGATTAAAAAATAAATAAAACGTTACACCTTTCTATTCCTTTTGTACAACAGGACATTAAGTTTATTATTAATTAAAGTTAACTATTATTAATGTTTTTCGTAAAACATGACTTGAATTTACAAAAGAATTACAAGCGAGCAGCTTTCAGCTTTCTGTATCAAAATGGCGTGCGCGTGCGGAAGACAAGAGACATGTCAAAGGTTTGACAATTTTTTCGAGATGGTAACACCAGATTTTTAAATATGGCGGATTGGGCGGGATTTTCAAATTGTAGAAGGTGCGCGTTTTTTAATTTATATATTTTATAATAATTAGATTTATGCATTTTGCAATTAGATTTTAGACTTTATTGTTAATTATTTATATATTATTTATATTTATTCATTATTTTCTGCTACAACTATTTTATTCATTATTTATTAGCTATTTTTATTTTTTATTTATTTATGTTATTTATTTTTATTACATTATACATATAAACTAACTAGTCCAGCAAACGTTATTTAGCCAATTAACAAATATCAATGTATATATCTATTTTGCAAATATATAACAATAAAAATATCAGTATATACATTGATATATCCAATTTCCAAGAAAACTATGGTAATTAAGCCATATATAATCATATATAAATCCATATATACATTTATATATCCGATTCTCATACAAACCGAGACCGCTAGTAAATATATAACCATGTATAAATCAATATATACATGTATATATTCAATTCCCCTAGAAACTAGGACAGCTAGTATATATATATATATATATATATATATATGTATATATATATATATATATATATATATAACGATGTATAAATCAATATATACATTTATATATCCAATTCCCATACAAACTGAGACAGCTATATATATATATATATATATAGCCATGTATAAATCAATATATACACTTATATATATATCCAATTCCAATACAAACTAGGACAGCTAGTATATATATATATATATATATATATATATATATATATATATAACCATGTATAAATCAATATATACACTTATATATCCATTTCCCATACTAGAAAGCTAGTATATATATAACCATGTATAAATCAATATATAAATGTATATGTCCATTTTTCTAATATACTGACCCCATATATAAATGCCTAGTAGTGTATAAATCAATATATACATGTATATATCCATTTTTCTATTATACTGACCCCATATATAAATGCCAAAACGTGTATAAATCAATATATAAATGTATAAATTCATTTTTCTAATATACTGACCCCATATATAAATGCCTAGTAGTGTATAAATCAATATATACATGTATATATCCATTTTTCTAATATACTGACCCCATATATAAATGCCAAAACGTGTATAAATCAATATATAAATGTATAAATTCATTTTTCTAATATACTGACCCCATATATAAATGCCTAGTAGTGTATAAATCAATATATACATGTATATATCCATTTTTCTAGTATACTGACCCCATATATAAATGCGTAGTAGTGTATAAATCAAAATATAAATGTATATATCCATTTTTCTAATATACTGACCCCATATATAAATGCCTAGTAGTGTATAAATCAATATATAAATGTATATATCCATTTTACTAATACAATTACTGACTTTATATATAACTGAAAGTTAAAAATTAAAAAAAAAATCTTTAATCTTTACAATTTATTTTCTCGAATCATTATTAAAAGTGCATAACAATAATTTCAATTACTTACAGTAATTAAGCATAATAATTACAATATAATAAAATTAAGTATAATAGTAATAGATGATTAATATAATATAATATATACTATATACATTTAAAAAAAAAGCTTCTTTAGTTCGTTATTTGCACGAAGACAAACAAGACAAGAAACTCGTATTGTTAAAAAAAATTTTATAATTAGTAAAAATTAGTTCCAAGTTTAACTCGATTAAACGCAGACAATTTTAAAATGGGAATGGATAATTATAATAAATGCTGTTTGTAAAAAAAAATTACAAAAGTTTTAAAAAACATTTACAAAAGTTGTAAATTGCAGTGATGATGATAAGTAACGTCTTAAGGGCTACATAGATATTGCATGGTAATATATATATATAATATATATATATATATATTTATATATATATATATATAATTATGTATATACTTATATACTTTCCTAACATCACATAAATACATGAATATATATTTAAATATTAAGACTAAACTTTACTATTTGCAACATTCGAATTCCTCAGCGAAATGCATCCTTCGACCCAAAAATTGGGCCTGTCCAGCATGGACCTCCAAAGGGCCATTTCTCGGTCGTGGGAATCCATCCATTCGACTTGTTTGTCCTGGTATTTTCCTAAATAAAAAAATTGGATTAAAAATTTTCATTTAGAACAAAAAATGGTAAAGAGATACCTGGTAGTTAGAAAGTCCTAGAGGAAAGACCTGGGTAAGGAAAATTTTGAGTAATATATAAATTTTATATATATATATATATATATATATATATATATATATATACTAGCTGACCCGGCAAACGTTGCTTTGCCATCAAAACTATTTTGCCGCTTTGCAGAAGATCTTATAATATACATGATGTATTAATAATAATATTATACTTTAATTACGCTAATTTCTTTACACTTTGATAATTAATTCCAACGCCATCATAGTGTTTTGTTTATTTTAATTTTGTTTATGTCAAATAGTGAAATATTTTTTTTAATCACTGAATAAATTAGATTTTAGTCTAAATCAACGCAGTATCATTAACTAAATATACAATTTTTTATATAAGTATCAGATTTTTTATATTTGCATTTAATTTAAAAATAGTGAATGTCAATTTCATATATCCAATATGCACTAAATTTATAAATGTCAAAATATTTCCTTTTTGGTCGAAAATGATAGTATTTATTTTACAATAATGTTTTCTGTCTATAATTTGTTTGGCAATATTGCCTATAACATAACTCCGGAATAATTAATTTATTTGTTTCCTATTGAAGTTAAAAATTTTTTTTTGTGTATATGTATATGTTTTTGAATTATATTTTTTGAACTGTTATTTTTTTTTTCAAAAATCATAAATCTTTTTTTCACGAATTTTCCATAAATTTTGACATTTGACATCTTAGTGTTTTGTTTTTTTTTTGGTCATTTTCTGTCAAAATTTTTTGAAATTTATAAAAATTATATATTTATGTTTTAAATTTACTTTTCAAAATTTCCTATAACCTAAGTTGGATATATATGCACACGATGAGCCAATAAAATTTAAAATCAGTTCAGTAGTTTGGGCTTCCATCGCGAACGAACATCGTGACACGAGGTTTTTTTATATATATATATATATATATATATATATGTATGTACTACTACTACTTGATAATTCCCACAAAGTGAAGATGTATCAGTTCTTTTGTTGATACTTTTTTTGTTCAATTATATAAAGCAACTTTATTTATTAATTTTTCTCAATTAATTTGACGGTATTTTTTTTTTATTTTACCTGTTCCCAAGGACAATCGAACCATTCCCAAAAATTCGTTGCTCCCCAATCTGTCGTGGTCCCAAACAGTCAATTCCAAGGCCCTTTCGTTAAGGTCTTGCAATGTGACGTCATCGTAGACAAAGGTGTAGTTCCAGGCAGGATTCAGGCATCTCCTGATGACCGGTGTTTTCTGTTTGGAACTTCTTCCTTTGTCAGGTAACAGATAACTAGAAAAAAATTCAAGTTGTTTATTTATTTTCTTGAAAATTGTAAATATTTTCTTGCAAATTGTTTATAATTGTTTACAATTTAAATCTACCAATGCGCTTCTTTGCATGCACTATTCTATTGTACGTTCAAAATTAGAATATGGTTTGATTATTTGGTATCCTCATCAAACCAACAACTCTGATGCGATAGAGAAGGTTCAGTGAAAATTTCTGAAATATCTTTATTATAAAACATATAAAATTTACCCTGAACGTGGCTTTGACCACAACACTTTACTAAAAGAATTTGGTATTTCTTCCTTTGCCTCACGTCGATTTATCTGTACAATTATGTTCTTATTTAAACTTTGCAATGATTCTATAGAGTGTCCTCTTATTCTTAACCAACTATCCTTTAATGTTCACAATTATTTTTCAATTATCCTACTCCTAAATCTAATTCTCTCTTAAATTCGCCTATTTTACTTATGTCCTCTAACTTTAACTCAATTAATAATGAAACAGATATTCACAACACTTCACCTAATCAAATAATCTCCATCTGCACAAGTTAACCTTTTTTATTTTCTTTTCAAATACCTCATTATTTTATCTTATTTTGTTTATAAATAATATTGTTACATTCTGCATTATATGTAATTTTATCTTAAGCATTTTATGTTACTAACTATATATTGTAATTTTGTATATATTTTAATTGTTATTCATTATGTAAAATATCTGTATTTTTGAGTCCTCCTGGAGTAATCTGTGGGCTAAGTATATATTTAAATAAATAAATAAATAAATAAATAAGTGTTCCGAGGTCTTGTAAGTTTTCTCAAGATCTTGCAAATTGGTCCAAGATCTTGCAAAGAGTTGCAAGGTTTTGTCAAGTGTTTCAAGATCTTGCAAAGTGTTGCGAGATCTTGCAAAGTGTTCAAAAATCTTCACAAGTATTCCAAGATCTTGCAAAAATATTGTAGAGTCTTCCAAGATCTTGCAAAAATATTGTAGAGTCTTCCAAGATCTTGTAAAGTGTTAAAATCGTGTAAAGTATTAAAATCTTGAAAAGTGTTAAAATCTTGTGATGTGTTAAAATCTTGTAAAGTGTTAAAATTTTGAAAAGAGTTAAAATCTTGTATGTAAAGTATTAAAATCTTGTGAAGTGTTACAATCTTTTAAAGTGTTTCAAGATCTTTCAAATTGTTCCAAAATTTTGTAAAGTGCTCAATAATGTTGTCAAGTGCTCAGCAATGCTGTAATGTATTCAAAAATATTGTACAGTGTTCCAAGATCTTGTCAAGCGTTCCAAAATCTTGTAAAAAAAAAATTCTAAAATTT